TTATATTCAATAATAGCTATTGACTAGTGTTCACCAATACTTATGAAGCTTTTCCTTTTCCTAGATTTACATGAGAATTATACCTCCTGTCCCACTTAAATAAGGCATGACCATATGATTTGGTTTGGCCAATAAAATATGAGTAGAAACGAAGTGTATCATTCTGTATAAAAGCATTTAAGAAGCAATGCCCAATTCATCCGTAGTCTTTTCTTATGCTTCACAAATTACGGAAGCAAGGTGGTTTGGGGACTTGTTTGGTTTTGGTTTCACTTTTTTTGTGGTGCTGGGGATTGAAACTCAGCTTCAGTGCTTGTACTCTACCACTGAGCTACACCCTCAGCCCTGGAAGCACAGCTTGATATCCTATACAAGATGAATGAAACTTGTGGTCCTGAGCTGTGACATAGTGGCTAGCTGCCCTGGAGAGGACCCTGCATAAGCAAAAACCCTTTTGTTGAATTAATCCACGACAATTTGGGCATCATTTATTACTGAATCATAAACTAGATTATATTGACTAATACACATTCTAAAGAAAAAATATGTCTTTCACAATGAAAGACTATGCATTTGAGACAGAAGGAGCTAGGCATTTTACCTCATCTCAATCACTTATTATTGGTTGACCTTAAATATATTACATACTTTCTCTAAGCCACAGTGTTATCCTTTAAAGATGAAATAAATAGTACTTGCTTAAGAGGATTGTTTTTTGTGAGAAAGTGCTTGGCTTTAGTAGGTACTAAAAATGTTTATTATTACTCAGCAAGATCAGAATACACTTGAAATATCTTTAAAATAACCACAACAATTCTTGTTGGGGCCACTGCCCAACAGAATGCACTGAGCAAGGTGGAAGGGTCTGTCGCTGTCACGTGCAGGAAAATGATGACTATACTTAGGGGATGTGAATGGTCAAATATTCTCTGCTTCCAGGATATTAGAGTGAAAGAATCATGGAATCCTGCATGGGGATTTTTTTGTATTTATAATTGTTTAATTTTTTCCTTTCTTCTTTGCATATTTTGCAAGACCAGGTTTTCATAGAAAGTAGGAGCATCCTTTACTATAGCCAACAGACATGGATAACTGGAACCTTCTCCAAAGACTGACTATTCTTAGAACCCGGAATTTCTGATTTTATTTTCTTAATTTTTTTCTACCAATATAGTTATATAAATATAAGGAACTTTCTCCCTGTCTTGTTTTCTTCATCAAGTTGAAAGTAAATACCTTTAGGGAAAAAAAAAAGAGAGAAATAGCATAGGAACATTTCAGAAGGTTTGCAGTTTATTGAGGAATAACTTGAGTGAAGGACATGAAGAAAGATGCCAACCTAAAGTCCACATTTATTCTTCTTCCCACTCCAGCGTTCCCAAAGTTTCTGTGGTAGAACCTTTAAAGCTCTTCCATCATCACAAAGATGCACATGGAAAAGAGTAAAGAAGGGACAAAGACGGGATGAAGAAAGCCACAGCCCAATTGTCCCCCAGTCAGTGTTCCCATCTTCAGGGACAAGTCTTCTGCTTGACAGTTAGAATGTGTGAAGACTGCCATCGTGATCGTGGTCCTCACATCACCCCAACAGTCCCTGTGCTTGCGTGGGATTATGGAGCAATGTCATAATCCCTCTGGTCTCCTTCATTCCTTCCTCCTTAGCATTGATTCAGGTCAGACCTCGTTTACTTTTCTATGTTCCCTCTTGGCACTTTGGTAGAATAGTAGATCTCAATTTTCACATGAACAAGTTTTGTTTATGTTTAATGTATAAATTGCCATTATTAATTTGTAAATTGCATTCCCCATTTTAAGTTTTGGTAATAATTGTGTTCGTATTTAAAGTGCTATTTCGATTTACTAGGTCTTATGCTTACTACTTTTATTTACTAGACTTTATCTCAATTACACCAACTCCAGATGAGTATGAACATTATTAAAACACAGATTTATTTTTGCACTCAGGAGGCTGAGACAGAAGCATTGCAAGTTGAGGGTAGCCTGTGCCACATAACAAGACCCTGTCTCAAAACAAAAAATTTAAAAACAATTTTAGTATCATTCCAAAAACAAGAATTGAAAAATTTTTGGAAAACAAAATAAAACACTGAAAGAGAAAAACAAAATTTAAAATGATGCATGGCTAGGACAAGGAGCATACACACATCATCCATGGGAGAGAGAAGCAAAGGAAATGTGAGGAACAAAGGCTGTAGTGCAAATACCGTATACACATGTATGTAAATGGAAAAATGATATTTGTTGAAAGTGTGCCAGGAATCGGGGGAGGGAGGATAAAAGAGAATGGTGGGAGGGGTGAATTCAAGTATGGTATATTTTATATATAGCAAGAACTTTTGTAAATGCCACATACCCCCACCAAGCACAAAAAATAATGTAAAAAATGTCTTAGATATCTCATAAAAGGAGAATAAAATTTTTATTATTTTTTTAAAAGAGCCAAACTAGGTGTTTCAGGAGAGCTTTTGACATTGAAACAATTTTCTAATTGACTTTTTTCAGTATTCTTTTGAGCACTGCAATAATTTTGGGTCAGTTTTTTTTCACTTTTTTCATATATAATTTTTATAGATTGTTAGAAAAATAATCTTTCTACTTGAAAAAAAGCAGTTAAGTAACTATATTGATATTCTTAAGATCTTTTCCCCAGTGATATTATTTCATGAATTAATTATTCTTATAGTCCAAACTAGAGATTATTGAATTATTGATTTAATTATTTGAAGTGGTCATAGTACTTTTCAGATACAAATATTAAGAGTATACTTTGAGACATTATGCATAGCAAAAAAAAAGGGAAATAGTCTTATGTTTTGAAGTTATATAGCAAATATAAACATATGTAAATATAAAAATAATTCCATAATATGCACTGGAACAGCCAGTATTAATCTTATGTTTCAAAATTTTATAGAACATATATCTATATGTAAATATAAAAATAATTCCATAATATTCACTGGCACAGACAGTAATCCCCAATGGACACCAATGATCTTCATCTTTGTGTGACTCTCTCCCACACTGAACTGTGGTTCATCTGTGAGACCAATAGCATATGTCTGAAGTGATGTCACTTTGGGATTAGATTAGAAAAGACTTTAGATTCCATCCTAGTTTCTCTCCCTCAGTATAGTGACTCTGGAAGAAGTCAGCTGCCATTTTGTGAAAACTCCAGCATCCTAAAACAAACCCCATGTGGAGAAGAACAGAGGCCTTCAACCAACTGCCATCAAGGAATTGAGGCCTTCTGACAACTGTGTGAGTGACCTTAGAAGCAGGTTCTCCACACTCATCAGAGCCTTGAGATGTCTGCAGCCCTAGTCACAGGTTAACTGTGACTTCTAGCAAGACCCTAAACCAGAACAACTCAAATGAGCTGCTCCCAGTTCCTGACCCTCAGAAGCTCTGCGAGATAATAAATGTTTACTGTCTTAAGACGACAATGTCGAGGTGATTCATTATCCAAAAGGGTAACTAGTGTAGCTGGTGATGTTGAACAGAAAGGAAACATTTAGGATTTTTGGATACCCTTAATATTTCAAACCTATCACTGACACATGAGGGTGCTTTCTACTTTAAATTTAAATTATATACAATGAGACATGCCTTGAAAACTTCTGTTCTGTTCCTAAATACATAAGGGAGGGGTTCTTATTTTCTACTGGGTCTTGAAAAGAAAAAACATCAACTAATGTCATTCAAAAGCACAAGATGAATTTTATTCAAACAACTTTCGAATGAATAGCATGTTTTAGAAAAAGCATCTGCCGCAAGAAAAGGTTTATTGCAAAATGACGCCCTGCTGGCATGGATCAATCCTATGAGCACCTTGTTCTCCTTTGCAGAGGGTTCATTCATCCAGGGTGAGACAGGTGTTACCACTGTGCTGACCATCTATCAGTTGAGAGATGTTTTGACTTAAAAGATGTTCTTTGTTTCACTAAATTGTGTTATGCCAAGAGTTTCTGCTATTATTGAAAAAGAACGTTTAGTGCTAGACTAAATATATATTTTTTAAAATGTTACTTTCTGGTTTCCTAACTCTACAGGATATTCAGTGATCTGGTAGTTTCATCATCAATACATCAGTCGTCCTTCTCTGAGAGTGTCTGTTGTCATCTTGGGAACTCAGACTAGGCAGGATAATCTTACTAAGGTAAACCATATTGTACTAACGTTCAGATTATGGAGGAAAATTGTGGGAGATGGACAAGGCGGAAAGATAGGACTTTGTACTAGTTTGCTAGGGCTGCCATAGCAAAGTACCACAGACTAAGTCACTTAAACAATAGAAACTTATTCTTTCATGATTGTAGGGGCTAGAAGCTCAAGATCAATGTGTTGGAAGATTTCGTTTCAGCTGAGACGGGGCTGTGTTCTCTGTGTTCACACACTATTCTTTACTCTGTGCTATCTTGGTCTTAATCTCCTCTTCTTATGAGGACCTCAGTCATATTAGATGAGGGTCCACCCTAATGATTTCATTTTGCCCCTTTAAAGACCCTATCTCCAAATCCAGGGAGACTCTGAGGTGCTGGGAATTAGGGCTGCAATTTATGGACTTGTTGGAATACTGTACAGCACACAAGAGAACTGAAATGTGTTGTTTAGGTGAATAATTGGCAGAGCAAAGTTATTGGAAATCTTAAGCAGAACAAATAAGAGATACAATAAAAGTGATAATGGACTCAGATTTCCTGCATGTATGTATTTTTTATGATAGTTTTATGCGCTCTTTTGAACTGTAATTTTTATTTCTTCTGCATAAAACATCCGTGTTACTCACTTGGAGTACTTAGTTTCAAGAAAGACCACTGTCCATAGTTTTATTAAAATTTACCTTTATTAATCTCATATTAAGCTTATATTATCTGGTGTGTGTGTGTGTTTGTTTAGATAAAGAGAAATGTACATTAGTCATTCATTTATGCCAGGTGCCACTTTTAGCAAAAGACCAGACCAATCTTTTCCTCATCCATCATTTTTAAAATTATCCTAAATCAAAGAGAAAATGTAAATACTATAAATACACTACTAATATAATGAATATACAATGGGTGTCATAACTATTAGCATTACTTTCAATGTAAGCACTCTTAGCTCTAGTGAAGCATTTGGGGCTCCATCCTTTTCATACAACCTCCCAAACAGAGTGGCTGTTAAGACAGGTTCAGATGTTGGCTTCAGACTGAACAAGCGCCCATCACTCGATACCTAATTAAGACAAAAAATTAGATGAGGTCTACCTTTAATTTACACAATCTCCCAATGCATTTTTAGCATTCAGTATAACTAGATGAAGAAACAATTTTAAAAAATTGGCAAAATTAAAAATATTTGAGGGGTTGGGAATATAGCTCAGTTACAGAGAACTTTCCTAGTATACACAAGTTCCTGGTTTGATCTCCAGCACCACACAAAGAAGAAAAAGAAAGAAAAGTAACTTAGGAATATTAGAAATGTTGCAGAGCATAAAAAATTGATACTATGGAAGGGGAATTTATTGTTGAAATGCTTATACTCAGTATTTTGTAATTTATTTGTCTGAGGGAGTGGCTATTAGTCAATAAAACAATGGGTCTTGTAGTGCATTAAGAGAGATACCTAGTCCCCTCAGGCAACATGAAGACTCCACCAAATGGTCAGACGGAAGTGACCAAGGTGAAATTTGAACTGAGCACCAACCATCCCCCATCACTCCCTCCCACAGTCTCCCAAACTTCAATGGGCCTTCCTCTCCCCAGGGAAAATCAGCAGACTGGGAAGAGCACACATGAAGCAGGCAATTATTTCTGGGCTTTAAAGATTTGGCTTCCTTGCCATCACCAGCCACTCTTGAATTCTCTCTCCTTCAGGTTTTCCTTCTCACTTTTCTCCTACAGTCATATCAGGCCTTGACCCTACCACCTTTCCTGGACCATCATTCCCCAGAGACCCTAAGGGGTTTCTCCTGTGGGATTGGCCCTGACTATTCTTGTTGAATCCTTTTCCTACTCTAGACCTTAAGCAGCCCAGCCTCCTAACTATAGCCTCTGCCCAATAAGATTTTGTTTCTTTATTCTAAAGGACAGGCTGATTACTATAACATTAAGGACTTCCAAGTAAGAAATTCAACCTGCTCAGTGTCTTTTATGATATCCACAGATAACTTTTCCCTTTCCAAATGGAGATGTTTATGATTTTTGAAAGCACTTGGGCAAGTTTTGAAGCCAAAAGTGCTTCCTCTTATGTGAAATTAAGCAAAGATTGTTACCTGAAATTCTCCTGGTGCAAGCTGAACTTTACTCAGCAACACCTCTGGGAAGACATACTGTGTTCCAAAAGTGCCACTGATAGAGAACATTTCAAATCTAGTGGAAGCCGTGTCAACTGAATCACCACATGTGTGTAACTCAGTCGTTTTACACTTCAGCAGAGTACAAACCTAGGGAAGTTATAAAATAAAGAAGACATAAGAAAGTCATGATGCATATGTGATTAGCTTGTTTTAATCATTTCATAATATATACATCTATCCAAACATATTGAATACCATACAAAGAAGTGGGGTATTTTTTAAGTAATTAAATTGTTTAATACTAGTCGCTTTAAAAATATTCTTAAGAGACTAACTGAAATACTCTATTCCTAGTAAAATGCCTTTGCCCCTTTAGATGGTAAAATATTAATGCTTCCTCGTTAGAGCCATCTGGTTTGTTGCTTATTAACTAACATACATAGAAATAAAAATAAAGGACTTCAGACTCCAGTGCTTTTGCAATCCACTGACAGATAGTGTAAGATCTTGTGGGATACAATGCTGTTTCTAGGCTTATCCTCCCCTAACCTTTGCTTTTCATGTTTTGTCTAAGTAACACTGAAAGACTTACATCAACTCTAGAAACTTCCCTGGATCTCTTCAGATCAGATTAAGTTCAGTACCTCAGTACTATTCCAACAAAATGTGCCTTCTATGTTCTATTACAGGTCAGCCTATACTTAAATTATCTATTCAAATGTCTTTCTCCCCTACTAGACACTAAAATTCTCAAGAGGATGGTCTATTGTTGTTCATTTTCATATCATTAGCACTGACTATGTACCCAGCATATAGTTGGTAAACAACACATGTTTCTGAAAATGAAAAGCCTTAGTAGAGTGCTTATCATATAGCAAATAAAATGTTGTGCAGTAGACACAGTTGGAATAATTATAGCACTCAAGGGACACTCGGTCTCAAACAAGTATGTGAATAATAAGACATGATGTGACTTTGATAAAAATTAAACGTAGGATGTTAAATGCTAATTAGCATCTTCATATTGCAGAAGCCCAAAGCATATGAGGAGAAGAAATGAAAAGAGGATAGAGAGTAGGAAGAGCGACATACATCAAAACTTTGTAAGCTTTTTATGTTTAGTAATTTTATTTGTCGATTTGTATTCAGTGAGGAATTCTAAACAAGAAAGTCATATAATCAGAAATGGATTTTTGTGAATTTTGTCATTGTGATGTGAGGGATAGAGTGGATAGAGTTGAGATTGTTAATAAGAAACCCTGTTAGGAGGGCAGGACAGTAATGTAACTGAGATAGGATGGGGCCAGACCAAGGAAGAGACAAGAAGAATCTATCTCGTTATGCTATAAAACTTCTTCTCCATATCATAGGCTGTGCAATATCTGAGTCTGCAGCAATAAACCATTCTAGTGAACAATTTCAGAGGGAAACTCCACTGGTCTCCAGTACATACTTAGTGTCAAGTTCTTTATAAGGCAAAATAGACATTAGTGAACATATAAGGAAATGTTTAGGTAGGATATATCATAGGTATTTAATTATTCATTAAAATTAGCTGTAATTTGAATAAATTTTGTCTTTTGGTTTATTGAGACAGGATTTCATTAAATTGCTCAGGCTGGTCTCAAACTCATGATCCTCCTGCCTCAGCCTCCCAAGTGCTCGGATTACAGGTGTGCACCACCATGTCTAGTTTAATCTGAATGACTTTAATGTTACTGAGGATAAGTGTTCTGACTTTTTTACAACCACTTTAAAATTGAACTGGTATCTGGGATTTTGAGATAGACTTCCAGGCTAAATTTGAATTTCAAATAAACAACAATTATTTTAAGTAAAAATATATTCCCTAAGGTGGGACATACTTATACTTATCCCTTTTTTTTTTCAAAAAAAAAAAGTCATTCATTGTTTATCAACATTCAAATTTACCTGAGTGTCAATATTTCTTCCTAGTAACTGTTCTAACATCAAACGTTACCTGTAGATGGTAGCGCCCTTCAACAATATGCAATCCATCAAATGCCCCTAGAACATAAACTTCATCCAATCTCTTCTCAGACATCTGGTAGCTGAGATGACAGCAGAGATCTTTCTGACAAATGGTGTAATTTCCTGTGATTCCTGTGAGCTCCACAAAGGTGTACTGATCATGAAAGACATAACCCTTAAATTCCTGGTTTCCTGTTGAGAGTGCATCTATACTGCTGGCGTAAGAAGTCCAGTTCACTACTGGGTGGTTTGGGTGAGAATCCAGTTGTGAAAGGAGGAGCTTTGCCTCGTTAGTCTTCATATCATAATGAAATACTTTTGGAGAATCAGGTGCATAGATGCCACTTCCTGGAGATGCCATTCAGTTGGAAATGTCATTTGAAACAGAAAAGTGAAAAGAGATTTCAATGTTATTATTATTATTCCAACTCATTATCATTCGTACTTCCTCTGTGCTATATATATTCATTAATTTCAGTAAAACATACTGAAAAGGGGATAGAGGAATGCAAGGAAATCCAATAAAATATGACAATAAGAAGTCACACAGGAAACTTTTCATGTAAAAAGTGGTGAATTTAAAAAAAAGAGTGTATATTCAAGTTGAATAAAACTAAGTAAATCTATAAAACAATTTGGATGAAGATTTATTCTACAGCATGTCACCAGCTAGATGTTCAAAAAATAAGAGTTGGAAAACATTGTATAAACATGTTAGGGTTTTTAAAAATTATTTAAAAATTAAACACTAGAGACCACATACTACCTGTCATTCTCATCCCGGGGAGATGTATATTGGATGCGAGGAAATTGACCCCCATTCCCATAGCCCAAGCTGAGTGGAATTCAATGGCTGCCAAATGTGGCAGAACATCCATCCAAGCTGTTGGGAAGAGTATGGTGTCCACATGGAAATCTTTCACCAGGGTAACAGCAGGATCATGGAAGAGTATATCAAAGCATGTAAAAATGCCAAACTTTCCAAAGGTGGTGTTGAAAGTCACAATCTCAGGCTCCTTGGGTGCATTGAATTGATCTTCACCCATGAAAAGGTTTTGCTGTGATGAACAGAAGATGAAGAGGAATAAAACTCTTAGGAAGGTGGCCTGGACGTCATTGTGCCTGACAAAGTGGGAAGTCACATCTACTCAACAGTGCCCCTTACATCAATGGCCATGTCTTCACAGGGAAAGAGTAGGGAAATCAGAGCCACTGCGGTTGAATGGAGCTTGTGGTTCCATCTTCACATTATAGATATGTATATAAAGACATCTTAAATCTCACAAGGTACAGAAGAGAAACAGATAACCTCTGCTTGCTGAAAACACTATGGGCAAAGAACTTTCTTTGGTCCTGTCTGTCTCCTCAAGGATAAATCTCTTCTACCTTTCACCTAACTCCAGGGAAGATCTTTATTTTATTTTTTTCACTTTCAAAAATCCTTTATTGAAATAATTATTTAATTTTACTAAACATTAATATGGGTTTGGTTATACATGAATATAAGATTTGCTTTTGAAAATTAAAATTGTATATGAAATATTCTTTAACAGAATGAACTCTAGTCAATGTTATAAATGTTAGAATTGTGTTATTTCACAGATGCATGTATTTGATTAAGCTGTAAGGACATTATATTGCAGGTAGCACTTGGTGACCCTCACACATCTCCTATGACACACTTCTATGTCCTTGAATACACAGGGAACTCCGTGAGTCTCCCTGTAGAGTCTTGCCACCTTCTATATTGTAAAGTATACTTCTTAAGTATACTTATTACTATAAGTCACAACCATTTGCCTTCCTGCCCACATTAATTCACTAAGCACTCAAAAGCTGATTTGCAAATTAATTTTACCTTATGGTAGCGGGCCACCAGTTTTCCCTGAGAATCAAACACCACATTAGTGTTGTATTGGTAACGGCCATCAGGGGGACATTGAGGGTCACTGGCATTGCATGGCTTCTTGTCCCCAATATTTGCCACGACATAGATAGAGTTGTCCTTAGCCAGGCAGCTGAGTCTTTCCTGTATTTGGGTGTGGCCAAATCTGGCATATGTCCATTGAAAAAGAAAAGAAAAAGGTTGTTTTTTTTTTTTAAATCAAGCTTAGCTTTTAACTAAATTCGTGATGATGGTTGCCTGAATCTATTATTTGATATACACAAAAATAAATTCTAAGTAACAGTACTTAGAGGAGAAGGATTAAGATAAAAAGGGAGGTCAGAGGGAACCCATGCTGGTGGGAATTTGGCTATAGGTAAATAGGATTAAGAGGCCAGGTCATGCCAGGCACTAGTGGCTGACACCTGCAATCTTAGCTACTCAGGAGGCAGAGATCAGGGATTGTGGTTCGAAGCCAGCCTGGGCAAATAGTTCACAAGACTCTATCTCAAAAAACCCTTCATAAAAATAGGGCTGGTGGAGTGGCTCAAGGTGAAGGCCCTAAATTCAAACACCAATACCTCAAAAATAAAAGGAGGCCAGGTCATGTATATTTTTCTTCAAAGCATGTATCATAACCTGTAATCACATACTCACTTATGTGTTCATCACAGAATGTCTACAGCATCTTCTATATATTATGTAGCAAAGACCTACATATCCTATTCGCTGAACCCAGGATTCACAGAAAAGAGGTATTACAAAATATTTTGAATGAGCCAGAACTTAGAAGTAGGAGGATCCAAGAAAGATCAGAAATCCACCTCCCTACCTAGACAACTGCACTGGCAGAATCTGTCTGATGTAACTATTCTGGAACTCTGAAGTGCATTTAAAGGATTGCAACTTCCAGGGGAAGCTTTGGATGTAAATTCAGTGCAGTCAATTTCAGCTCCAAGCTGTGCAGTAAATACCTATCCTCTACCCCAGCCCTGCAACATGTGTGTTTCTGGAGCAGCTTTTGGGCAGCTTAGAGAGCAGTGTGAGCAACACAGATCCTGGTTTTCTAAATATCAGACATATGCGTTCTGATCACTGATGGCTTCTCCGAACATGGAGCATAGACACAGAGAAGGTAGTCATTGTACACACACCCTATTGTTGCAAGTCTTCCTCCTGTGGTGTCCTGTGGGACACCATTAAAAAAGCACAAAAACATGCATTCTGAGACTCCTAGAAAGAGAAAAGAGATTATTTGAAGAGATGATTACCAAAATCTTCCCAAATTTGAAGAGGAAGAGGGTATGAATATAATGATACAAGAAGCTCAACAAATTCCAATTAGAATGTGCTCAAACGTGCCAAGCATTTGTTTTTATGTTATTGAGGTTAAACTGGTATAAAACCAAATTAAAATGTTAAAACTTTAGAAGGTTAAATGTAAGTTACCTGGCAACTGCAAAGAAAATAGCTATGGAGTATTCATAAAAAGGAAATGAGAAGGGAATCAAAATGCCTCACTACAAAAAGTCAACTAGATACAAAAGAAGACAGTAATGTAGAAAATGAGAGACAAAAAGCTAGAGGACACATAGAAAACAAATGGTGAAAACAGATGTCCCTTCTTATCTTTAGCTACATTAAATATAAATGTATTAAAACCTCCAATAAAATGAGAGAGATTGCCCAAATGAATTTTAAAAATTCAACTATAAGGGACACCCTTAAGATCCAAATAGGTTGAAAGCAAAAGGATAGAAAAAGACATTCTATGCAAATAATATCTAAAAAGATAGCCAGGGTGACTACACAGATGGCTCTCAATTTATGATTGGTTTGACCTTTGCTATTTCAGCTTTAGGAAGATAGGAAATCATGCCCATAAATCATTCTGGTTTTCACTTTCCAGGCAGCATTTAGTGAATTTATATGACATATCCAGAACTTTATTATTAAATAGGATTTGTATTACATGATTTTGCTCAAGTGTTTGCTAAAGTAAGTAGTCTGAGCACATTTAAGTAGGCTAGGCTAGGTTATAATGTTCAGTAGATTTGGTATATTAAATGCATTTTCAACCTATGATATTATCAATCTATGGTAAGTTTATTGAGCTGTAACCCCATCATAAGTTAAGGATTACCTCTCCAGATATCAAACAAAAAAAAGTTTAAATCAAAAAAGTTACATGAAGGAAAGAAGGACAATATATATCAATATTAATATCCAAAATACATAAAGATCTCCTAAGCCTCAACAACAAAAAAAACTTGATTCAAAAATGGGCATTGAGTAGTAATTTCTCTAAAGAAGATACACAATGACTAACAAGCACATGAAAAACTGCATAAAATGGCTAATCATTAAGGAGATACAAATCAAAACCACACCCGTCAGGATGGCTATCACTAAAGAAAAATAGAAAACAAACAAAAACAGAAAATAATAAGAGTTTTTGAGGAAGTAGAGAAATTGGAACCCTTATGCACTCTTGGTGAGAAAGTAAAATGATGTATGCCACTGTGGATTCCAGATTGGTAGTTCTACTTAGAGAATTGCATATGATCCTGAGTGTATACCCCAAAGAGTTAAAAGCAGAGATATTCATAAACTCATGATTGTAGCAAGACCAAACATTACTTGGTATTACTTGGTATAAATAAAGGTGAAAGCAACATCTATGGATGAACAGATAAACAAAATCCCATATACATACAGTGGGTATTATTAGCCATTAAAAGAAAGAAAATTCTGACACTTGCTACAATATAGATTAATCTTGAAAACATTATGTTAACTGAAATAAGCCAATCACAAAAAGACATATGTGATATGATTCCACTTATCTGAGGTTTCTAAAGTGGTCAAATTGATAAGACTCAGAAACTGGAATTTAGCAGAAAGTAGAATTTATTTGAATCTAGAAATTTGAAATCAGCCTGGGCAACATAGCAAGACCACCTCTCAAAGATAATTTAAAAAACAAAAAGAAAATAGAATTTGATTGTCAGAGGCTGAGGGAAGGGGAAAATAAGGAATTTTTGTTTAATGGGTATAGAGTTTGAATTTTGCAAAATGAAATTCTCTGGAGATGGATGATGGTAACTGTTTGTGCAACAATATGAGTATTTGTAACACCACTGAACTATATACTCAAAATGAATAGAATAGTAAATTTTATGTTTTATGTATTTTGCCCCAATAAAAAATAGTAAAAAATGAGCAAAAAATATTTTTATTATTATTTTTGAGAGGGAGGTCTTGCTATGGTGTCCAGGCTGACCTTAAACTCCTGGACTCAACCTTTTGAGTGCTAAATTCTACTTTCTGTCTCTATGAATTTGATCACTCTAGGAACCTCACATAAGTAGAATCACATAAAATATGTCTTTTTTCTTATTGGCCTATTTCACTTAAGGCCTGTGAAGCCTTATGTAATCAAGTTCTTCCTACCTACCTGCCTCCATCTCCTGCTTTTCTCCCCTCCTTCACATCACTTCACTGACACTCACTTTCTTGCTATTCCTAATATGCCAGATACATTCTTTGACCACAGGATCCTGCAACTTAAAAATCCTGCAGCCTAGAATGCTCTTTTCTCTGATCCCCATGTGACCTACTCCCTCCCTATATACTAGCTATAAATGTTCTAAGCACATTTGCTGAAATTCAAGGTATTTGCTGAAATGCCATCATGAAGCTCTCTTTTACTACCTATTAAAAATGTCAACCCTATACTTGTCACCCTATTCACCTTTTCTACCTTGTTTTTCTGCATAACATTTATCTCCATATGGTATCAGATAAAGATAGATAGATGGCAGATTACCAGATAAAAACAGACAACTAGACATGATCTTTTTTTGAAAAATGTACTATCCCCCACATTAGATTATTATTAACTGAAGAATAACAGGGATTTTTAATCTGTTTACCCACCCCATTGCCCAGAACAGTGCCTGAACATAATAGATACTCAAAAATTGTTGAATGAATAAATGAAAGCAAGAAATGGCAGAATCATTATTTGATGGAAAACATGGAGCAGTAACCAAGATTCCTGAAATAACCAGATGGGATATCCTTGAGTAGACATTCAGGAAGGCCCTTGGAAATTGAGTTCTTAGGGAAAGCCATGCAGAAGTAAGCCATTTAATTCATAAGGAAACTAATAATGGAGCTCTTGCCTTTTAGATACTGGCATGAGAGATGGTTATATAAGAAATAATCATGATACATTGAAATGAGGATAAAGCAAATGATGAAGACAAACAATATTGAATTTTGTCAAAATCAAGGTGTGATTACTAGCAGTTATAGTAGCTAGTTGGTGTGGAATTGAGAGCAAGTTCAAAGACAGAATACTTAAAGTGATTTTAGCCATGTTGCATTCAGAAAGAAGTGTGTTGAGTGATATGATTCCCTTAGATATGTAAGATATTTCTTGCCTTACATTAATAATTCTGTTTGCATCACATTTCATACCTCTTTATTCTAGACTTGATTCACACCATTTATAGTTTTGCTATATCACCTCCTAGGTTAATAATCAGATTAAATTTTAAGAATTTTAGTACTTAAAACTCTTCAGCTCTATTATCAATGAGAAAGAAAAATCATTAATCCTAAACTCTTATGTATCCCCACTTTTTAAAACTTTGTTTTGCAGTACTGGAGATGGAACCCAAGGCCTCAAATGGGCTGACTTACCCCTAAGCTGCACTCCCACCCCCTCTCACACTGGTAATGTTTTTTCCATTTGCAGGCAAAGTCAGATACTAGAGTTGAATCTAACTGCTTACCCCTGAGACCTTACACAAGTTATCATCTTCCCAGGCTAATTCTTTCAGTGGATTGTGATTTTTAAGCTACCTTTTAGCACTGATTTCTGTGATTTCATAGTTCATATTGACTTTCCTGATAAATGTGTCCATAGTGGATGAAAACTAAACTACCTTGAAGCCCACAGTTGATAGTGGATCTGATATAGTTTGGATCTTCAGTGTCCTGCAAAGCCCCTGTATTTAAAGGTTTGGTTCTCAGCTTGTGGTGCTATTGGAGGTGGTGGAATCTTTAGGACATGAGGCCTTATGGAAGGATGTTAAGTCATTAGGGGTGTTCCCTTGAAGGGAAGGTTGGGACACTGGCTCCTTCTTTTCTCTTCTATTTTTGCTTCCCAGACACCTTGAAGTAAACAGACCTCTTCCCCACATATTCCTATCATAATGTTCTGTGCCTTCATAGTACATTATGGCCCAAAGCAACACAGCCAGTCACCATGAGCCTGAAACCTCTGAGCCATGAGCCAAAATAAATCTCTCCTCACTTTGAGGCATTTTGTCACAGTGACAGAAATCTGACTAACACAGGATCTGTGCAATGAAAATCAACAGTTTTCCCAGGAAACAAGCTGATGTTCATGATAGAAGAGCTCACATTCTGTTTCTTTACCTGTTAGGATTATTACAGGGAATCCAGTTGACTTGAGGGTCTGGGATATCCTCTAAGTATGGGTAAATAGTTTTCCTGTTGAAATTCATACCATAAATTCCATCTTCTGGAGTCACAATAATGTGTGCACCCTGTTAAAAAATGTAGCCAAGTAAAACATTGCTCAATAGCTAAATAATGGGATGAACTGAGTAGCTGCCAACCATTTGGACATTTTCCCCCTTTCCATCTTATTCATTTGTTTTGTATATTTTTTGCATTTATTTTCTTTTCCCATGCACTTTAATTTTCTAATCCTGCCACCACCATTTCTAGATAACATTTTTCATCTTTTCAGAGATATCAATAGTTTTCCAGGTCACTCATTGCTCTTCCCCTTCATGCAGTTATTAACTATAAACTTAGCATTGTCACAAGTCAACCTTGAACTTTGACCAGTTGCTGTGCCTGGCTGTGTCAGGACTGACTTGCAACTCATATGTGCTGCTTACTTTCTCCTGTGCTCCAGGAATTCCCCTGCACAGTACCCTGTAAATATGACTTTTTTTCTTTTCAGAAGAGAGTCATGCACAGTTTACCTGAGCTACACCTAGCTTACCAGTCTTCCCTGAGCTAACCTGAGCACCTCGGATTTGGAGTCACCTTGAAATGAAAGTTGCCATAGTCTTAAAAAAAATACCTGGACTAAAGGTAAGGATGAATATCAGAACTCTTGATAAGTTTTTGAACTTTAATATATAATAAGAATAGATAGATAAATCATGGATGGATAGATTGATTGAGGGATATATGTATGTATGTATCTATGACTTCCATCACATTTTGTATATCTTTGATCTATATCTTATTTTAAACATTTGCCCAAACCACACACTTATTCTGCACAAGTTAATTTTGCTTTAAACTAAACTTTCATTCAATTTCAAGGACTTACTATGTATTAGCATATATACTTTCAGAATTATATTAATTATAATTAAGTATGGTATATATAATATATACCAGTAAGCAATTTATAACTTCAGTTTCATTGTTTTCAGGTTATAAACTTATCTGAAAACTTGCCAACTCTTAAGGGTGCAAGGGTACACTGAGGCCACTAATATTCTGAGAATAGCACTTGGTCCCTGCCTCATTTATCCTGTATCCTCTGTCTATAGCAGAAAAGAGGAGCAATGATGTTGAATGTATAAACAGTTCCTCAAAGTTCTGCTGCTTCTTAATAATGCTGCTTTTTAACTTTGCCCTCACTGATATGGAGATGTAATAATATCCTTGCTCTAATAATTTTGAGAGGAAAGAAGAATTCTAATTGTAAAATAAAGCATCTTGGCTACCCTAATACATATGTCATTCACAAGTGTAACTGACAGTGACCCCTCTCCCCGAAACCCAAATCTTCTCATAGAATCTCTCTAGCAAACCAGAGAAATGGAGAAACAGTACCTGCTTCGCTGCTGACTCGATGGCCGTTTTCAAAAGGTCCAGATTCTGATTCATTAATGCCAACGCCTGTTCACGAGACACTGGTGTCAGAGTGTCATTAGGTAGTATCACTGCATGCTCATACACAGCTGCAGTGAAAGTATCCTGGGAGCTGGCTTTTAAGACACAGAAAACTGAAAATGCCACATAAGCCAGCAACTGAGCAGTCATCATGCTGAAGTCCAAAGACTTCTGAAAAATGTGACGTCTTGCTCTTTATAGAAAGAAAACACAAGTCATGTGGCTCCCAGCGCTTAGTGTCTCAAAAATCAATTACAAAAGGTAATTTTAGGAAAACGGGTGCCTTTGCACTGTTAGACAACAGAAGACCCTCTTTTCTTGCAAGAACGATTTAAAAAGAGCAAGTCAGGAAATGGGTATGTTTTAGTTCTCTAGGGCTGCCTAACGAAGTCCCACAAACTGGCGGTGTAAACAACACAAATGAGTTGTCTCGTAAGTGCTGAAATCAGAAACCCTAGAGGAAGTGTAGGCAAGGTTGGCTCCCCTCAGGCCTGTGAACGAGGGGAGTATTCCAAGGCTCTCTCCTTTGCTTGTAGGAGACTGTGTTCTCCCCGTTTCTTCAGGTGGTTCTTTCCCTGTGTGCATGTTTGAGTCTAACTTTTCTTTTTTATAAGGACATCAGTAATCAGATCTAGTACCCACCCTGTTCCAGTATGATTTCATCTTAATTAATTATGTCTTAAACAGCAGTATTTGCAAATAAGGTCACATTGACTGGAGGTGTGGCTCAAATGGTAGAACACCTGCTTATTAAGCTTAAAACCCTGAGTTCAAAAAAAAAAAGAAATGTGATCCAATAAGGTCACAGTCTGAGGCATTGGATTTCAGCATATGAAATTTTGGAATTGATATGTTTTAGAACTTCAGTACAGAGCAGTATGTGTAGTTTGAAGGATAACTAGTTTTACAGCTTTGAAATTCTTATTACTATCTCCATCTGACTCCTTGAGCTCAGACCTCCTGAGTGACCCAGCAGCACCCATTCCTCTATTTTGACATCTTGTGGCATCTCCCTGCCTAGATGGGTGGGGAAACACATACTTTGCGAGGAGATGTCATTATTACATAACAATTGAGAAAAAGAGGCTCTGAGATTAAAGTTACCACGAGGAGAGAAAACTGCTTCTTTGACTTTCTTAGGTTAAAAATATTAATTAAGAATCATTCATTAAATTTTCTCTTCAAATTGTAAAGTAATGTCAGTCATCTCACAATAAGGAAACAACTAAAAATCAAAAACTTTTCTTAGAGGCCTCAGGAAATTGAGATCACAGGACAAACTGTTGCCCTCAGAATTAAAGAGCAAGAAAAATACAGAGGAGAAAAGCTTATGGGAGTGGAGTCCAGGTTGGGAGCTGGCACTCTGGCAAGATCACTGGACGTGTAGTTGATGAATGTTGGAAGTGCAGTGTGAAAGAGGGTGAGGAGATCCCTCATACTTTTGTGAGTTTTACATCCTGGAGCCCCACCAATTCTCTGGGGAAATGAATAAAAATCAGGGAAAAACTCCCCTAGTGCTTCTTGTGGGGGAAAGCTGAGAACATTCAGCTCTGGTCTTCTTAACAAAGCCTCCAATGAAGGGAAACTATATACCTGAGCCTAATCTACCTGGGAGATGAGAAACTTCAACTTCTCTTCCTTTTGACAAGGGGTTCTTGTCCCAACTAAGGGAAGAAGAAAAAGGGGTAAAGGCACTTGTGAGGGAAGGTCACAGCCCAGGAACAGGATACAAGCTCAATAAAAGACAGAGACTGAATTACAGGGCTACAGAATATTTCCAGGTCCCCAAAAGGTTACCTCCATATTGATCCTACATTTCTGTCCTTACCTAGCATGTATAACCAAGAGCAAGGCTTCAGGTGAAATACTGCAGTCCTTGAAGTAATGTCATTAGCTAGACCTGGAAGTGGGAGGCACCAACATTCTCTACTATAATTCTTGAGCTTGTTCTCCTAAAGCATCTAACTCCCCATGTGCCAAACTCCCCATGTGCAGCCCTTCTGGGGGAAGTGTCTACAACCAAAGGACTCTGAATGTAGAGAAGACTCCTAATGGAAACCTCCAGGGTCCTCTAGATTAACCTGCATGGATGGAGCAGATTGCATCTTGAGGGGACATGGACATCCCACCACCTAGAGGAGGGACAAGACTGACACTAGTCTGACCCACACTCTGCTGCCCAAAGCAGTGATGACACCAGCCTAGGCAGCAGGCCCTGACACCAGCAGCGAGAACCAGAAAGTAGAGAGAAGAAACTAAGAACAAGGACTAAGCGGGGTTAGCACTGCCTCTTGTGTTCTGAACTCTCAACAGCCATGTGTACATGTGAGCACAGGTGTGTGACAGAAGATGAGAAGTCAGCCTCTATATTGCTATTAAGCCTATATATTAATATTTAGTGGCTGTAAGTCTATGTCAATTCTCTAGTTGATCTTAGTGTACTTGATAAAGTCACTTACATTGCAAGAATATCTTTTCTGCCATAGGACTTAATAAAACTATTTTTTCAATTTTAATATAGCAACTAAATATTATTATGTGTTCTTGTCAAATGACAAAAGTACAATTAAATGCAAAGATCTTTATTAGGTTCATTTTCAATTCTAGAATTTTATTGCATCGTATAGAAATTCCCAGGGGGTAGCTATAAAAAATTGTTTCTGTAGCTAGAGATTGCAGTGAAAGCAGAAACAAAAGAACAAAAAGCAGATTGATCCTTTCAAAGTTACTTTCCTTGTAAGGTGGGAGCAGGGAGACAGAACACTAGGAAATAGCTGATTCGTTAACATTCAGTTATTCCAGGTCAGCAGAAGGATCTTCATTACCATACCAGTAGTTATCACACCACTGTTTGAGACAACCTGTGCTAATCTCTCTAATTCTGATAGCTTGGAGAGTCAGATAAAAAACATTGTTTCCGTTTGGTGATTTGGAACATCAGTGTGAGTGGCTCTACTTTCATTTTTAGCCTGGTCTGTTAGGTCCAAGAGCAGAAACTTAGTCTAAAATAATAATCTCCTGCAATTTTTATTTAATATCCTTAACTGACTCTCAAGAAAAAAAAATTTCTAACCAGTGAGTTATACTCTGCAGTACCAGAAATAATACTTAAAGTCATGAGTAAGCAAGGGGAGGAGGACAGGCCAGAGATCAAAGAAAATAAAAGCACAGGTATTAAAAGATAAAGGGGTAAACAACTTCAGTGAGTACAGTTCAGTTGTTCTGCCATAAAGAGAAAGAGCTGAAAAGTGATCATGAGTCTGACTTTGAAGTTGCCTTTAAAAAAGACAGGGCAGAAATCTTAGATACAAGTGCAGTGGGAGACGGTGGTGAGGAAACTGGAGTCACCATACATAAAGCCTCCAGAAAACTGTCTAGGAGAGAGAAGGAAGAGAGATGGAACCAAAATAAAGTCATAAAAAGGGAAGATGCTCATGTCCCTCAGGCACAGAAGAATCCAGGCCACAGTCTGATATCATCTTAAGATCTGAGATCATAGTTCCTGGAGAAAGAAGCTAAGATGGGAGAGGGGAGACCAAAGGCGTTTTCTGCTGCCCAGAATGTTTCCAGCTTCCTGGTGTTGGCGGGGTGAGGGAGCTGCTCCAGAGGTTCTTGTCTTCACTGGGCTTAGGAATAAGCTCACAGGACACAAACAGTGCACACACAGGTATATTTACTAGGGATAGAAAAGACTGTAGCTAAAGTAGTGCAGTGGAGCTCAGAAATCAGTAGCTCCTTGCAGTAACAGCAGGGGGACTCTTTTTCAGATTTTTATTCATATGTGCATACAATGTTTGGGTCCTTTCTCCCCCCTTCCCCCCCGCCCTCTCCCTTGCCCCCCCAACTCCCTCCCTTACCCCCACTAACCCCTCACTACCAGGCAGACACTATTTTGCCCTTATCTCTAGTTTTGTTGAAGAGAGAGTATAAGCACTAATAGAAAGGAACAAGGGTTTTTGCTAGTTGAGATAAGGACAGCTATACAGGGAGTTTACTCACATTGCTTTCCTGTACATGTGTGTTACATTCTAAATTAATTCTTCTCGAACTAACCTTTTCTCTAGTTCCTGGTCCCCTTCTCCTATTGGCCTCAGTTGCTTTAAAGTATCTGCTTTAGTTTCTCTGCGTTTTTTTTCCCAATTTTATTTTATTTTAATTATTTTATTTATTTGGTTTTTTGAGACAGGGTCCCACAATATAGCCCAGGCTAGTCTGGAGCTCTCTGTGTAGTCCAAGCTGATCTTGAACTCACAATTCTCCTTTCCTTGCCTCTAGAGTATTGGGATTACAGGTAGTTTCTCTGTGTTGAGGGCAACAAATGCTATCTAGTTTCTTGGGTGTCTTACCTATCCTCATACCTTGCTTGTGTGTTCTCAGTTTATCATGTGATCAAAGTCCAATCCCCTTGTTGTGTTTGCCCTTGATCTAATGTCTGCATATGAGGGAGAACATACGATTTTTGTGTTTTGGGGCCAGGCTAACCTCACTCAGAATGATGTTCTCCAGTTCCATCTATTTACCTGTGAATGATAACATTTCATTCTCTTCATGGCTGCATAAATTCCATTGTGTATAGATACCACATTTTCTTAATCCATTCATCAGTAGTGGGGCATCTTGGCTGTTTCTATAACTTGGCTATTGTGAATAGTGCTGCAATAAGCATGGGTGTGCAGAGGCCTCTGGAGTAAGCTGTGTCATATTCTTTTGGGTTCTGTCAGAAGGAGAGGATGGAGGTTTTCTTCTTCCCCCATCTATGTGGTCTGCACCCGTCAGCACCCATGTTGGCAATATTCTATTTTTCACCCTGGTGCTCCTTTCTGGGGCCCACTTGTGAAACATCTCCACTGGTTTCAGGAAGTGCAACAGCAAGCTGCTCCCTGAACTAAGTTCTTTGTTCTCATGCTGCTGAGACCCAGCACTGTACTGAATTAAATTATATTGATGGGCACTAACACCTATAAAAAGCCTAGGAATGCAGTTGTCATACTTTGGTGGGAATAAAAGGTATCTCTGAATTCCGTGATCTTGAACTGTCTTCACACATCCCAGAGAACTCACCTACTCTTGTGTGAGTCTTTTCCCAGAGTCAATCAATAACCAACAAAGAAAAACATGCATAGGGCCAGAGAAAATGGGCCAAAGATTTCCAGGGAAAAGGTGACAGGGTGGCTCTTTCTAAGGAAGCTCCTTGCCTAGCACAGGCTACAACAAATTCCTGAGTACTGCATGGGAGCTTACTCAGAATTGGTTAGACTTTAGGATAGAATAAATTAAAAGGAAACAAGATGTGGTCTGAGGGAAATAACTTATTTCTTTATTATCTCCATTCCAAATACCTAATTTCAAATAGACCATAGAGTCAAGTAGGTTATGATAAAAGATAATGGAACAATTTTAATTAGCCACAAAGTTGTTCATCATTACTTGAAAAATGCCCTTATTCTTTAATGTCCTGTTTATTAATTAACTGGGATATTTGTCTCTTCAAATTTCATCCTGTATATTTACAAATGATATGTATTTGTCAGGATCCACCAGGGCAACAGAACCAATAGGAGACAGATGATCATAGATAGAGATAGATAGATAGATATTCATAGATTCTGTATTATAAAATACTGGTTTGCACAATTATGCAGACTTGACAGCTAGACATCTAGCACGTTCATGGTGTCTATTCCAATCCATTTCTGAGGACCTGAACACCAGAGGTAGATTATCTATGATGAATTAACCCTTCCTCTGCCTTCTTGTTCTACTCAAGTCTTCCAGGGAATGGATAATGCCTACCCACAGTGGAAGGGCCGTCTGCTTTACTCGGCCCATCAATTCTAAGGCTATTCTCTCCCAGAAATGTTCTCACAGACAAAACTAAAAATAATTTTTAGCCAGCTATTTGGGCATCCATGTCCATTCAAGCTAACACATAAGATTAGCCATCATGATGAAAGCAATATTTACACATGTTAGAACAGTTACCACAAAAGATTTTTCTGGGGCCCCTCCTATTTAAATATATGTTCCACTGTACATATACATACTCACATATGCTGTAACACATACCTAGAAGGCGAATGCTGCTTCCATAATTGGGTTAATGCTATGACAATTATGCACATATCTTTAGTTTGTTTTCTGTTGCTAATAACATAATCCCATAGACTAGGTAAATTAGAAATTAAAAAGATTTATTTTGGCTCATGTTTCTTCTAGTCCAAGGCCAAGGACCCACATCTGGTGATAGTCTTATTGTTGGCAAAATCCTGAGGTGATGTTGGATATCACATGGTGGTGGGAGAGGGGAAAGAGAGAGAGAGAGAGAGAGAGAGAGAGAGAGAGAATCTCCTTTATCTTAAAATTCCACCAACATTCAATCATAAGGACTCCACCCTGATGACCTTAACTAATCCTAATCACCTCCTAAAGGTCTCATCTCTAACCAGCACCGTTGGATTATGTTATCATCCTCTTAATAATTCACAGAGGAAATTTAATTTCAGCATGAGTTTTAGAGAGGTTAAACAATATTCAAACCACAATATATCCATTGATTTTAAATCTTAAGTTTGTTATTCGGTAAGTTATGTCACCTCTTCTAAAAAGATACCAAGGACTCTCTCTCTCTCTTTCTCTTTTACTTGCCCCCACCCTATTTTACTCCCTCCATCATTCTCTTTTATCCCCTCTCCCTCTTATTGCCCCCACCCTTTGCTAGGGAAATTCTGACAGGCCCGGAAAAAGGTGTCACTGGAGATGAATGACAGGCTTTTGATCATGCAAAAAAAGTATTTAGGGGCAAACACACAGTGGAGTTTTAAGCAGAGCAAGAGTTATTGAAGTAAAAATAAACCTCCCCACCCAGGAGACTGAGGGCAAGGAGGTTGGCCAAGCAGTCAGGTGCCAATGCAAAAGCAAAAGTACACCCTCCAGATCAAGTGAGGGCAGTCAACCCAACCAAGCAGCTGAGTACATCCAGTTCTCAAGTCTTAGGCACTTTTATGGGTAAGGCTTAGATTTAGCTAGGGATATGTGCCTAATTGTGAAGACTTCTGAGGAATGGAAGGGCATTGATAAGGCATCTTCAGAGTCAAGATGGCAATTTGAGGGGTGGTTTTTGCATGAAACTGAAACTATAGTGAGATGTAGTTGAGCCTCTGGATAACCTTTAGGATTGGCTACCAAGAAGTAACCTCAATCATGGTCAACCATTATTCTAGGATAATGGTGGAGCTGAATGTTTGGAAAAATATATCCAGATATGGTGCTGTACCTGTTCTCTGGTTCCTTTTCATATATTGTTCCATTTCTATCCACCTACCCCCATGTCAGAGGATATCATTTTAATTTACCAGGTCCCTGCCCTAAGCATGGAGGATCCTTCTCACTCTTCCATACAGCCATAACTAAGACAAGCAAAAGGGCTCCACTTTGGCTCCTTAGTTGTCCATCTCTAGTAACCTAATGAAAGAAATGAAAAGATTAACTCCCATGCAGAGCTAGGTTTCCAGCCCAGAGGCCTTCTCTACCAACATCACTCCTAAAACAGCATAGACTAGTAAGAAAAACACAGGATTTGGTGTCAGAGACCCAGGCTCATGTTTTGAGTCTAACAGTAGAAGACAGTGCCACAAATAAGTTAATGTATAAAAGTGTTTTTTTAAACTCATGAAACACCATACAACATATTAATGATCACCAACACTATAACAACTTCTCAAAATAATATACACATGGAATAAGTTGTAGATGCCTTATTTAATTTGTCACATTTAACTTGAATCTTATACCATGCAGAGGAACAAAATATTAGTTGCCATTATCAGCACTCAATGTTTTAATTTTAATTTCTCTATGACTTCACTGTTGGATCCCAACATCACATTTATGTAGAAAAATGAATCCAAAATTTTCCACCACAGCCTAAAGACCGTCTAAAACTACAACTCACACTTCAGCTCAGAATTTCCATATTCCATGTGTCTCCCATATTGTGCCAAGTATGATATTTTGATACTGTCCCATTATTTCAAAGATTTTCAGTTTGCTAGTCTATCACATCTGCTCAAAGAAATTTACCATCTTGGAAAGTTCCTACCTCATAATGTCTTTCAAGGGGCAAGCTGGCTCCCACTTAAGACAATCTGTGGGAAAACATGACTCGTTCCAAATGTGCCACTGAGGGAGAATTCTTCAAACGTGGTAAATGCTGACCCTACAGGCTCCCCACAAGTTCTCAGATCGGTGGTTTGACACTTCAGGAATGTGCATATCTATGTAGAAAAAGAAAAGAGCAGTCAGAAAACTTGGAAATATTTTCACAGTCAAATAATGCAATTGCAAAAAGTAGAGGAACACTTAAGTTGCTTCTTAAGCATTGTTTTGTAAACTGCAGATCACAACTTATTAATGAATCCTTTTTTTAAATAAAGTCAAATGGAACAGATTAGAATTTAAAGAATCAGAGTGTATTGCACATAATTACAGCTATCTCTCATTCTAATTTGGCTTATTCCATAAACTATTTCAATTAGATATCTCTTTTTTAACTCCTTCACATAGTCACATCACTACACTGGAAAATACACAGAAGTTACGATTTTTTAACTTGGCCTGCTGAGAAGTAGTCAGTTGACTTTATATTTTTTACCACGAAGCCAAGAAAATCAATCCTGTTCTTGCTAATCCTGAACAAATTAAGTGTTCTGGGTTTAAAAAAAAACTTCAGTGATAAATACAACATTACACTGATTAACTGAATTCGGCACAATTTTTAAAGAAAGGAAATGATGACTAAAAGAAAAATAGTAAGGCCATTCTAACATATGAAAGCCCTTTTACCTGTAAGTAATACTGGCCTTCTACTGAGTGCAGTCCATCAAAAGCACCCAGTACATAAACCTCATCTGTTCGTTTTTCAGTTATCTTATAAGTCAAATGACAGCACAGGTCCTTCTGGCAAACTGTATAATTTCCTGTGTTTGCCTTAAGCTCAGTGAAGATAATTCATCAAAATAAATTGTCCAGGAAAGTCTGCCTGCTTGGACAAGTATGGCTTGATGCCTCTGGCATAAGCACTCCAATTAACTGCTGCAGGGTAGTGGGCTCGCTGCGAGGCCGAGACTTTAATTCTGAGAGCAAGAGCTGGCCACTCTCTGTTTCCATGTCATAGTGATACACCGTGACTGCTTCTGGGGCATAGATTCCAACTTCCTATCATCAAGATGTGGAAATGCAAATAAAGTATCGGTTTCAAAACTTTTTATGGAAATAAAATATTCCATGTGAGATTAATTAAAAAGTTATAAAAACACCATCATTTTCCAGACAGTTAGGGAAATAACTGCTCTTTTGGCCTAAATTCCAGTTTGACTCTGTGTTCTCCATAAGATATTATTGGCACTAAAATTATCATTTAACATGGAGGTCCTTTTTGATTTTTTTCCTTTATGTTTACCTTTTTTTAAGCCAATTTAACAAGAAACTAGACAACTCCCCCGAACATGAAGAGTAACTTTGGCTCCCCACTGACTGAATATGATTGTGTTTGGGACTCTTCATTTGGCTCAACACATAGCAAAGTGGTAGAGGGGAGTGAGCATTACCTTAAAAGTGGATGTTTTTAATAAACCTAAAGTGGTTTTATCTCAACACTAATAGATGTTGGCTGGGAATTCCTTAGATCTGGCTTTAATTTTTTTTTTTGTATTGTTTTATTGTTATATGGCCCAGGCCAGTCTCAAACTTGTGATTCTCCTTCCCTAGCTTGTTGAGTGATGGAATTGCAGGCAAGTGCCCCACATCTGGCCTAACTTTGATTTTTTTTTACAAGACTTGACCTCTCTAACTCCAATTTTCCCTCATGGTAAAACTGAAATGTTTTCCTCTTTTGTTCACAAAGGATTCCTTAATCAGAAACTCATACTGCTATTAATTTTACAATAGTGGAATTCATAATTGAGCCATCAAAGAAAACTGAGGCTTGAAAATCCGTGAAGACTTCCAAGACCAGCACTTCACTTAGTGCTTGACTGGTCTGGAGTTACCTGTCATGTGGAAGGTAGTGTCTGTCGTAGGTATTTGCAGCAAGCAGGTTAACTCTCATGGCTGTGGCCACGCTGAATGGAAGGGAACAGCTGAGAGGAGGGGCAGCATGGTATACCACCCTGTGGAGAGCAGAATGCTGTCAACTTGAAAGTCATTCACCACCACCACCACTGGGTCATAAGAAAAAATGTCAAAGCATGTAAAGATGCCAAACTTCCCAAAGGGGGTGTCAAAAATTACAAATTCTGAATCCTTGGGAAAATCAAATTGAATTTCTGGTGCAAAAAGATTTTACTGTTAACAAAAGACAAAGAAGGAAAAAATTAATTTAAAAAACCCAAACTGCCAATGGATGTGATAAAAACCCATAAAATACTTTCTCCCATGTATGTTGATGTGCCTACTGAAAGCTGTTTTGCACAGATTTGCACAAATCATGACAGCTATACCAACTGCCTGAGTTTTCTTGTTGTAACATTAATTAAAAGCCTTAATTTTCCACAACCAATCAATAAGATCATACATACAAATGATTTCTAGGATGTGAGTATGTCTATCTTCAAATCACAGGAAGCATCTTGAGTCTTACAATTTGTTTCCATTGTTTTATTTAAGTATAGCTAGTACTCACTGAATGAAATCTAACACGTGTTAATAAAATAAACTTTATTTTGTGTCTCTGTGATATGCTGTTTATATAAATCAAATGAAATTAATTTAGATACTGCAATAGCTATCTTATTAATTTGTAAGCCACTAATAATTTTTATTTTGTCACTCTGATTCCAACAGTGCAAGTGTTGCATTGGTAATGGCCGTCAGGGAAACACTGAGGGTCACTGGAGTTGCATGATTTATTGTATCCAATGTTTGCCACCATGTAAGTAGAATTGTCCTTGGCCAGAAAGCTGATACATCATAGCCAAATCTAACTCAATACACATTGCTTCAAACTGACTATAAGCCTGTGCTGTCCTCCTGAGCTTAACCTGGGCTTGGGAGGACCACACATGCTTGGCTCAAGTTTTCATTTGACTTAATGTGTGCACAGGTGCAGTCAGGCATCAGCTCCCTCATGCTCCTGCCATTTATTGAGCATCTTTTGCTCATGTTTATTTTAGTGAAGTCCTTTTCTCTAAATATTTCTACTATTACATTACCCAAAAGCCCATTTTCAAGAGGTGGTTTCTTTGTGTCTTTAAATAAGCTAAATAGTTTAAGATATTAGATATAGAATGGAAATATCCTAATTTTGTCTGTTTAACCTGAATCTCTGTTAACTTCCTCTTTATTTCCATGTCCATTTCATCATAAGTTTCCTTTTAAACATCTGTTGTTAATTTGTTATTCTAAACCAGCTGTCAGTTGTTAAATTTATCTCCCTATCTGCCACAGTGGAGAAATTGCTTACTCTGCACGTCGTCACTAGAAAATTTCCCTTCAAAGTACAGCTTCTGTCATGTCACTTAGACTTCCCAACAGTCAGTGTTTCTCTGTTATTTCAAAACTCTTAATTCCCCAGAAGTGGAAAGCTTATAATCAACAGGAGTTTATTGATCACAATTCAAGAGGCCAGGAAATTCAAGTTCAATGTGGCAGAAGTTTCAGGTTTTGGTGCTGGACCACTTCCTGGCTCTTAGATGGTAGTCTCCTTGCTGTGTCCTCATTTGACAGAAGGAGCGAGAGAGCTCCCAATACAACGTCATTCATGAGGGCTCCATCCTCATGACCTAATCACCTCCTGGAGGCCCCACCTCCTAGCACCATAACCTAGGGATTAGGAGTCAACATAAGAATTTTTGTGGGGGTGTTATTCTGAGATAGGTTTCTCATTTATGTATTTCATGTTGGCTTTAAACTCATGATTCTCTTTCTTGAGTCTCCCAGCTGCTAGGATTATAGGCATGTGTCACCATTCCTGGCTTAAACATAAAAATTTAGCACCAAAAGCATTCAGTTCATTGAAAGTTCCATACTCCATGAGAAGTAAACAAGGTAATGCTGCTCTAAGATACACAGGCTACAGAGGAACTTGAAAACATCAGCATTTCCCACATTTCATCCTCTATAACCTGAACACATCCTCCACTGAATTTACTTTTGTAACTTGCTAACATACACTCTGTTCAGTAATATCAAGTCATTCCCTGCCCAACGAAAACTCCATACGCTGCTCTGCATGGATGAGTCAGGTTTTGGTGCTGGCCCACTTCCTGGGCCAGTTCTGCCTGTAAGGTCTTTGGTCTGCATTTGTGTAAGCTCCAGTTCCTCGTACAGCTCCATTTCTGAACTCTTATAGCAAATTTTCTCTGTGCTGTTCAATGTCTCTCACTGCTTGCTGTTGTCTTGACCTTTAACTTAAATCTTGCACCAATACATAATTTGGTATGTGCAGATCTTGTCTTTTCAAACAAATTAAGATACTAGGAAACTGAATTTCCATATGCAGAAGGATGAAACTATCTCCTTGGGAAGACTTCAGGTATTTTATGGGCAAAGATAGTTGGGGAGGTAAGAATCTCGGCTATTCATTTGACAAGGGCTGATACTTGGAATATATAAGAACTGAAGAAAGGACACTAACAAAAACTCAAATAATCCAATTAGAAAATGGGCAAGTGATCTGCATTGACATTTCTTAAAATAATGTATACAGATGGCCAAGAAGTGTATGTGAAAAAATGCTCAATATCTAGTCATGAACCAATCATCAGGGAAATGCAAATCACAGCCACAATGAACAGTGACTCACACCTATAATACTAGCTACTTGGGAGGCGGAGATGGGATGATCCAGGCCAACACAGACCAAAAAAAAAGTTTGTTAGGCCCCATCTCAACAGAAAAAACTAGTTGTGATGGGGCATGCCTGTCATCCCAGCTATGGTGAGAAGCTTAGAATCGGAGCACCATGGTCCAGGTTGACCTGGGCAAAAAATAAGACCCAATCTCCAAAATAACCAGAGCTTAAAAAGGTTGGAGGTATGGCCCAAGCAGAGGAGTACTGCCTAGCAAGTGAGAAGCCCTGAGTTTCAACCCCAGTTCCAACAACAAAAAAAAAGAGAGAGATACCATTTCACTCACGTTAGAATGGCTATTGGCAGGATGCAGAGAAAGAGGAATTCTTATAAAATGTTGGAAATGTAATTTAATCTACTCATTATCAAAAAACTAAATATTGGACTATTATATGATCCATCAATTCCACTACTGGGTATATATTCAAAGGAGAAGAAATTAGTATGTTAAAAAGATATCTGCACTTCCATGTTTATTACAATACTACGGAACCAATCCAGGAACCTATACAGAAAATATAGTATGATATATAGATAGAGAGAAAGATATAATGGAATATTATTCAGCCATAAAAAGAAAGAAATTTATTAAGCAAAACACATGGAATTGCATAAAAAGCCACCTTTTTACCTTCCTACCATCAAGTAGAAGTATTGCTTTACAAGTAGAAGTATTGATTTACCTAGCTTGATTCTTACCAGAAGTATTGGATTCAGTTAGAGATGTAGTTTTTGATCTTAAGCTGGGTCTGAAAATAAAAAAAGAAATGAAAATAAAAAAAGAAATGAAATCTTCTCATTTGAAACAGCATGTAGGACATCATGTTAAGCGAAATAAGCCAGGCACAGAGAGACAAACATGACATCTTCCCCTCATATACGAAATCTAAATAAATGAACTCATAAGAGTAGAAGAGTGGTCTGCCAGAACCTGGAAGGGTGGGTGGAGGGATAAAGAGAGGCTCATTGTCAGATATAAAAAATACAATTATATATAGGGATTAAGTTCTAGTTTCTATAGCAACAGGTGAATATAGTTAATAACTTATTGTATGTTTCAAAATAGCTAAAGAAAGGATTTTTAATAATTCCAGTAGAAACTATGGAATATATATTTTTAGGCGATGGATATGGTAATTACCCTTATTTGTTCATTATATATTATGCACATGTGTATCTCACTGCCCCATATAAATAACTATCGTAATTATTATGTATAAATTCAAAATCTGAAATATTAAATTTGAAATATGAATGATCTTTGGCATATGTTTCCAGCAAAGTCTTTTACCAATCTAGAGCCCTTGCTGTGGGATTTCCTCCCCTCCATGTTATTAAATCTGGAAAAAGAAAGAGCAAGAGAGCTCTTGATATTTCTTCCAGAATATCCATGTGTAATAATTGTCTAGAGATGATTCATCTCAGGGATGTGACCCCTGAAGGATAAGAAAACCTCATGTCCCTAGCACCTGAGAGGTAGGTGGCGAAAGCCCAGACTTGAATGAATGTTGAATGAATGGGTGAAGGGGTCCCCTGCCTGAGGAACCAGTGTGTTACATGTCTGAATGTTGAGTACTTTTAGAACATTCTTCCCTGTGTTCAGATGCGATTTACTTCTGCAATTTAAAATAGCAACTTCAATACACCTTCCATATGACAGACTACTGGATAAGTAAAGATTTTTACATTATCTTTTAATTTTATTATTTGTAGCGATACCATCCTTATAAGTTTCTTAAGGGCAAGGGCCACATTACAATTCTGTACTGCTCTGATGGGATTTTATGCCATGCTAAGCCCTATAAATATTTCGTGCTTCGTTAAAGAAAATTTCTTGACCTAGTTTGAGACTGAATTCCCTTTTTGAATATGAGTTGATTTCAAATTCAAAGAGTTTCTGTTAAGGTTTAAATCTCTGATTATAGAATCATTAATACTGTTTCTTTCGCTTGGGATTCTTTCAAATCCCCATCTGATCTAGAGAAACTTACAAGTTTTGGAGATTTGTGCATTTGTTCGTTTGGTTGTTTGGTTGATTTGGTTCTACATTCAAAGTCCCTTGATTTCAATAAGCTTTTCCACTAAGAATTCTTTCTCTCAGGGTATTTCCCTGTGTCCTAATTCCCTGAAATGACATCCATCAGACATTCATTCATTTCAGAAAAAAAAAAAACTGAGGACAAGAAGGAAACTGTGTAACCCAGGTGATTGCTTCATGATGCGATGAAAACGATTTTCATATTTTAGGTTGACATTATAA